AAACGGTGGCAAAACCAAAATTTACTATCAGCCCAATTCTAAATCATTACGGAAGTTTTATCTCAGCTGGTTTAGATTCTGACGAGCGTAGATCCTTAAAAAAAAAACTCTATGAGAAATGAGATTTCTAAGTTAGAAGCAGGCTTTTCCAACATACACTCCCGTGCACTTGTATAGGGACAATGCTTTTTCGTTTGTTTTCTAGGTTAATTTTCTTTTATTTACAATCCATTATTATACCAAGGTACCGTCTTTCCGATAAAAAAAATTTGAAGTCTGTTAAAAATGTTTGAGTTCCTTGTTAATAAAACTTGTATTAAGGTTTAATGGGCTCTAAAGTTACATACCTAAGGTTTTCTGAAAGTTCTAATCAAAAAGTTTGAAATTGTGGTGAAAGTTTTTTGTTTTTTCTTTTAATTTTTGTACAAAGTTTGAAACGTGGATTTATATGGTGTTACTTATAGTATACATTTCCATTTCCGTCCATTTCCTGCCCCTCTCTGTTGCTTCCTCTGGCGAGTGCCTTAAGAAATTGAAAAAAAGAACCGGAAATGGATTCCTCATACAAAAACTCCCTTACAGCAGGTTTTTATAAAAAAAATTAAGCAATTCTTTACGACAATACAGCAAATTATAACGCTCGAAAGGTAAAAAAAAACAGATTTTCGCGATTTAGCAAGTTCGAAATTGATTCGAGGCCCATGGTTTCTGGGTTTTTAAATTTTTTGTTCAGAATTTTTAGAAAATTTTCTGGTATGCACTTTTGTAGCCCTTTCAATTTTAGGATAACAAAGTGTGAGTTTTAAGTGGCTAGAAAATACCGTTGATTTTCGACAATTTTTTTTTTGTTGAAATTGGACTTACTATATATATCAATTAATAGGAAATTACATTTAGTTCAAAATGGGAAATGCACTTACCAGCCAGTGACGCAATAAATTGGATTTTGTTATTGCTTAAATAGTTTCTATTATTTATCTCCAAACTAAGTACCTATTTTTTGCATTTTACGGTCTCACAAATGACCACTATTTAAATTACTTTGCGATTTTTTTTAAAATATATTTCTTACACTTACATACCTACATGCATACATATACAGCAAATGCAATGCATTTGTATGCACACTCGTATACATAAATGTAACGAACCGACGCGACCCGACCATTTCCTACGCGACCCGACTATTGACTATTTTCACTTTTTCACTTCATTCGTTAATAGATTTTAAATAGCTACATATATGTAAATGTATTTTTTAAGTAAATAAATAAATATACACTTGTAATATATTTTGGAATAAAATTAGTATATTTCTTTTACACTAAATTTATTTAAAGCGACTTTCACAAGCACAGATTAACCAAACTAATTTCCACTGCAAATGACCACTGAATACTGAAAATGCCTATATACACTCTCACATCTTGACCGATTGTTCACCTGGAAAAACATCTTTCCATCTATTCCAATAGTAAAATCACTGAAAATAAATTAAAGACTCTTTAATATTAAATTAGTTTGTATGGATGTACTTTTAACCTTAACATTTTAAGCAAAAAATACAAAATAAGAGCGGAAGGAACATATTTATGAGAAACGGAAGTGATTTTGTGCTTGAAAATGTGAGAGTGAGCAATTACGTATTTCCGCTTAAAATTTTGTATCATGAGAGAAACAGATAACGGAAGAGAGCACTAAGGAAAATGGAAATAAAAATGAATATGCTCTCCACCTCTCTATGAGTGAGAGTTCATTTCCGTTTCCTGTGCACTCTTCATCCGCTCTTGAAATGCTTTTTTTTTTGGCTGCGCAATCGGTTCGCGCAAAATCAATTTCCAAATTTGCAAATTGAGAGTTTTCGAGTGAGTTGCCTATCTTCATTCAAACTCTTTTCAAAGTGAGGACCTGGAAAAATAAATTTTTTGGAAATTACAAATTACATGTGATGCACTGAGAGTGTAGGTTCATTTTCAGTATTCAGTAGACTTTTGCCGCGGATATATTACTTAAGTTCGTTTGCTGCGCGATTTCAATCCGCTAAGCAGGAAATAATTGTGCAAAAGTGTTAAAATAATTTATTTAATTTGTATTCAAATGTGCATTGTAGCATTAAAAGTGCAAGTAGTAATAAAAAATATATATAGTGCGATTTTATTTCATTGCTGCTAAGAAATTATGTGAAAAAGTGAAATTCGTGTGTTCGCCACGAATAAATGGGAAGCCATCTTGTGGTCGTGTCGCGTGGGTTCGGTAACGTGCATATCTATGTACATACATATGTATACGTGTATGTAAATGTTTGCGCGTAAATAAGTACATACGTTTATATGTACATATTTATGTAGTCATATCCATATTACCCAACGCAAAAGCCAGCACATAATATTGATAATTTGAATCTCGGTTTTCATTGGAGAATTTCATATATGTAATTCTAACACCTTGTCATTCGGCTAGTGGAATAGTATGAGTAAGTTGCTAAATACCTGAAACCAAGCAATTAATAAAAAAATGCAGGTACGAGTGAATTTGGTAAGTAAGAACATACTTTTACATTACGCACATATGTACATATTTATAAATGTAACTGTGAAAGCACATACTTGCACATTAGACGGCATCACAAAAAAAGTGGCTGTTTTTCCGGCAGGATTACACAATCTAGTTGATTCTAAGACTTCTACCAAAATATTTCGGAAAAATATTAAGATTTACGTGAGCTGGACCGGTTTGAAAATACCTCTAAAAATGGAGTTTTTTATGAATAAAAATAGGTTCTTAAAGGATTTTTTTTTTTGGAAAAAATCCCCTCAGATGACAAAACAGGTTAAGCTTAAAAAATCTACATAAAAATATTAAAAATTTTTATCAACGGAATCATAGTAATGAGATTTTCGACGTTGTTTTTTAACTTTTTTCAAAGATTTGTGTAATAAAAAATCAAACGAAACGAAAAACGACGATATTTGATACATGCGCCGTGTATATAAAATTCGGTTTCGCCCGAACTTATACTTCCTTACTGGTTTTTGAATTAAATTACAGTCCATTCGTTAACAAACACTATATGTACCTATAAACGCAAGTTTGAAACTATGTAGGAAATTAAAAAAAGGTTCTAAAAATTTTCATCGAAAAGTCGAGTCTTGTGTGCAGTCTCCTATCCCATTCAATTTCAGTATAATAAAGTATAACTTTGGCGTAGCTTAAACTTACCGTAGATTTTTGAAAATTTTTTACCAGCGGAAAGAGCGTCGTAAAAAATTTTCAAAAATCAGCGGAAATTTGTAGCTACTCCAAACTCGCACTTTATCATACTAAAATTGAAATTGTTGAATCCTTATTTAATTTTCTATAAAGTTGAATATAAATGGAAATTGCATAAAAGAAAATTAACCCAGAAAAAATCAGCGAAAAGGCATTGTGCTTATTCAAGTGGATGGGAGTGTACATTGTTAGTCATTGTTCTATAAGCTGCCCGGTGCGGCTAGATGGGAATTATTTTTGTTGAAGCCCTCCCTACCCTCTGACCAGCACCTAGCTTTAAGTGGGAACGAAGGTTTCGCACAACCATTGAGGAGGAGGGAATGAAACCTAGCCGTAGATCCCCAAACATTGTCACGAACGGCTCCAAAAATGGCAACTGGAGTGTGTGCTGTGGGAACTGAACGTCAGGCGGGGAATAAGGTTACTTGATCAAGCAGAGGTTTTCGCAATGAGGATAGCAGCAAAGCTAGCCTACACCGAAACGACAATCAGTTCAAAAGCAAACATATACGTCGATAGTCAGGTGGCAATTAAGGCAGTTACCTCATATACTATTTTCTCCATAAACGTCCTTCGCAGCCGAGAAGCCATTGACAGGCTGGGTGCCGACAGAAAACAGCACATCTATTGGTCGCCCGGCCAGAAGGGAATAGAGGCTAATGAAATAGCGGATGGGATCGCCAAGAACGAAAAAGACAAACTAAATTCGTAGACCACTTCAACACTTGTACAATGAAATAGACGATATTATGATTAGGCAGTTCAGGGCTAGATGGAATTAGTTAACGACTTGAAAAACGTCTTGTTACGGCTATCAAAGGAAGACTGCAGATTTACGGGGCATATCTTGATAGCTGTTCATGCATGGGTATCGGTAGCGTGGACAGGTGCAGGAAGTTTCGTAAGCGGAAGGCCAGGAAAACCTTGGAGCATCTTCTCTGCCGCTGTTCTGCACCGTCAAAAATAATTCGGGAAGTTAGAGGACATGTCAAAAGTAGGGCTGAAATGTCTACTCAAATTCGCAAAAAGCGTTGACATCCTTTGTGATATTTACTTTAACGCGTAAAAACGAGCTCCAACTGGCAATGCTAACGACCTACCGGTCTATGTGCGGCTCAACGCCGGCCAGATTAACCTAACCTACCCCATGACCAAAACTGATTCTCCTCTCTACTGTGAAAAGTTATTTAGACCGATTAAATAACCGACCAAAATTGATAAACAGAAAAATGTTGTGTTCCATTATGACGAACGAATCACACGCAAAAATTAAGAGCGCTTCGTTTTCGTTGCTTCATATCCTTTCTGGACTCTGTAGAACTCCCTTAATGGTGCTGAATTTTCTTCAAAAAAATTCAATTGAAATCATTTGAATCAGTTTTCATCCCAAAAGTCGGTGAAGTTTTTCGAAGGTAGGCATTGTGAACATGCCTTAAAAAAAACTACAAGCTTTTCTCAATTGAAATTTTTTTAACGCTCTCTTCATCTGAATCCTATTTAATGATGGTCCCAATAATTCCAATCAATGAGGTATTTTTTAATGTCCAACTTTGTCGTTATAATTTGTGTCAATTAATTCGGCATCAGCCTTATTAGATTCAAAAAATCTTCTGCCAAAATCTACTAAATGGAAAACGGATCTACCAATCTACCAAACTTAAAATTTAGAAAGTGTTTTTCCCGTTTTAAATGAAAATTCTAGAATTCTACCAAAATGGCAACACTGACATACATATACATATGCACCTACACGCATATTTTCATTGCATTTGTTGCCCAATTAAAATAATTACAACTGAGCTTAATCAACAGAAGCCACTAAAGTCCCATTGCCAGCCAGTCACCGGACGACAGACGCTGCAATACGGTTGACGACGGTGGTAGCACTATTGTTGCAATGCTACTAAACCTCATGCATTTGCTGAAATTTCAAGAAGCCTCGATGGCCTATGTGCTGAGTGGGAGATGTTAGTAGGTATACGATGATGTATGAAGTTGTTTGGGTTTTGTACAACTATTTAGTCGATAGTTTTACCAAAATAGCAAACGCATGTTGCTTGACTGCTGTAGTCGGAATTTTGTGCGGCGTACATTTTGTTGCTGTCACCATTTCTGCTATCCTTGCTGTCCCTGCATCACTTGTCAGTGTTAATTAATTAACCAGCATTTTAACTGTTCAGTGTGAATATCACCTTTGCAATGGTTATACTGACTTTGATGTTGTTGGTGTATCGGAGAGATGCTGAGGTGTTCGCTAGCTTAACATTTGCTACTAAGACTAAGAGTGTCATTGCCATTGCCATTGTCACTGTCATTGCATGCAACAAAAGCCACATTTGCTGTCTTAACTAGTACTTGTATTTTATTTATTGCATTTTTGTTGTTCTCTGCTACACTTCTCACTGCCAAAGGTTGCCATTAACCGTCTGTACACAGCACTGTTGTAGGTTCTGCGTGTTACTGCGTTGCTGATAGCTTTTGCTTGATGAGCTTGTTAACATACTTGTTGCGCAATTAAAATATATGTATGTAAGTTCTCGCAATTGCTGCAACATGAGTCCTTAGGACTTCACTGGCTTCGCAAAGGCTGTGTTGGTGGTTATGCTGCCCGCCTCGTTTGCCTTCATTTGTTTCTTCAATGCTGCTCGTCTCTAATTTATTTCTTGTAACCGATCCTTCCATTGCGCTCTGTTCTGCATCATTTATTAGCTTCGCTCACACCAAAAGCTCCTCAAACACCATATTTGTTGTCAACTTGTTAATGCTGATGTTGCTGTTGTTCCTGCTGTTGCTGCTGCTGCCGCTGCTGTCGCTGTTTCCATTACTGCACCGCCACGTTTACGTGCCTCCCTCAGCTCCTTGCCCTCATTTCCTGCGTCACTCCAAAGTCATACATTCAGGTCGGCCATCATTTTGCGAAAATCGTTAAGTGATCCATAAGTATCGAAATCATCACAGCCATCCAATTCACTGCCTCGTGAGCCATGCCGGCTGCCCGGCGCTCCTGCGCCCATATTTGTGGGACGTGGCAAGGTCAAGGGTACTGGCAGCAGCTCCGGCATAACCGAATGGTGAGTGATGAGCGCACGCAGCGATGAGAACTCCTTGGTGAAGCCCTGTAAAAGCATGAAAAAGAAAAGAGTGAGCATTCCAGTTCATTTGGTTTTCTTTCATTTACACCTTCATTGGTGGTATCGAGTTTCATTATGCATGTAACCAACCTTGATTTTATAGCCACGCGGCGTACGCAGTATCAGGTAGTGTGCCACTTTGGGCGCGGGCGGTGGCACGCGTAACGACAATGCAAAACAGCCGGGTTTTGTGCTACTCTGTCGCACCAAAAATGCGCCGGGACTTTGCCGCGACAGCACCTCTAGCGAGATCTCACGCGGGATACCGGCTTGAAACCATGCAGCGCCCTTCAGTTCGTGTTGCTCTGCCAGGCTGAGATTGTCGAGTCG